TTTTTCGTATAAGAACATATGTATATATGTATACAAACATATATGCATACAAACATGTATAAATATATATAAATATATTAGGTGTACAAAAAAGTTCTGAGCTTTAGATTTCATACAACCGAAATAACAATTTAAATTTTATATATCTTCCCGCCCTTTTGCGGTTTTAAAGTGTTGACATTTGGCCTTCTAAAATGCCATACGGTTTGGCGTTTGATGCACATAACTTCAAAAATCAATAGTGTTCACGATGGCAATAACAAAAGAGCATATTCGATTTTCCATCCACTTCGCGTTTCATCTGAAGAAAATAGCTGCTGAAGCCACTGCAATGATTTGTGCTGCATATGGAGAGAACGCTGTAAGTCATACTACATGTAAAAGATGGTATCAAAAATTTCGCCAAGGAGATTTCAGTCTTGAAGATGAACCGCGTGCTAGATGCCCTCAAAAGATTGAAACGGACGAATTGCAAGCACTACTGGATATAAACTCTGCGCAAACTGAAAAGGAGCTTGCAGGACAGCTTGGCGTTACGCAGCAAACCATTTCCGTACGTTTACATACAATGGGAAAGGTTCAGAAGGAAGGCAGATGGATTCCGCATGAATTGTCCGAAGACAACAAAAATCGTCGGCGTGATTCTGCGCTCACTTTGCTTTCAAAGTTCCGGAAAAAAGATTTTCTGCACAAAATCATTACAGGCGATGAAAAGTGGATTCTTTATGATAACCCTAAACGTAGAAAATCATGGGTTGACCCTGGTCAACCTTCGACATCGATGCCAAAATCCAATATCCACGCTATGAAGGTTTTGCTCTGGTATCTGGTGGGATTGGAAAGGTTGTATTACGAGTATGTATTACGAGTTGTTACAACTGGGTGAAACAATCACGGCAGACCGCTACCAACAACAAATTGAGCGATGCATTAGAAGAAAAGAGACCATTTACTGGCCAAGGACGTCGTAAAGTGATCTTGCTTCATGATAATGCTCGATCACATGTTGCGAAAGCGACTCAGGACCATATCTTTGCGTTAGGCTAGGAACTTCTTCCGCACGCGGCGTATAGCCCAGACTTGGTGCTTTCCGATTACTACCCATTCCGGTCGCTGCAGCATCATTTGACTGATACACATTTCGTGAGATTTGAAGAGATACGAAAATGCATTGATGATTTATCGCTTCGAAGCCGATGAGCTTCTATCAAGAAATTCGCTACCCGAAAAATGGCAAAAGGTCGTTGATGCAAACGGGAATATTTCGCTGATTAATATTTTTTTAATTGTTTTTGAATAAAGATTGAATTTTAAAAAAAAGCTTAGCACTTTTTTGTACAGCTAATATATATATATATATATGTTTTTACATAAAAAATTTTTATCAGGTACATTACATTTGATAAAGATATTATTCTAATACAGAAAGAAGAATCGGAATTAAGTAAGCCTGCATTGTATGCCAGTTACAAAATTGCTCATCTTATTGCACGTGAATCATGTCCATTTAGCATTGATCCATTTGTCAAACAATGTTTAGAAACCACAGAAACAATATATCCTAATGATATTAATAAATTTAAATCAATTAGTCTCTCTTCTACGTCGCATTGAAAAATTAGCTGAAGATCTCGAGCGACTAATTGGTACTAAAAGCAAACAATTTTATTGCTTTTTCATTAGCTCTCGACGAGAGTACTGATATCGTTGATACTGCACAATTGGCAATTTTTATTCGTGGTGTGGATAGCAACCTCTCTGTTACTGAGGAACTTTTAAATATAATACCTCTGAAAAGTACTACGACTGGAGAAGATTGAGATATATTGTTTAGCGTTGAAGAAGCAACAGAAAACATAAATCTATCTTGGGATAAATTAACTTCAGTTGCTATTGATGGTGCTGCAGCAATGATTGGACCCAATATGGGCTTCGTAGGACGTTTAAAGTCTAAACTAGTCTAGCACAATCAAAACAAGAAATACATTCGATCCATTGTATCATCCATCAAGAGGCATTATGTGCAAAATCTTTAAAGTATGACAAAGTAATGAAAATTGTAATCAAAGTTGTAAATTTTATTAGAACTACTGGATTGAATCATCGTCAATTTTGCGAATTTCTATCTTCTTTAGAGTCAGATTACACCGACATCTCCTATTTTTGCGAAACACGATGACTTAGTCGAGATAAAACTCTTCAGCGTTTCTTTCATTTACGCGAAGAAATAATTATATTTTGAAAAATGAAAGATAAGTCTGTGCCTGAACTATCACAGCCTTCCTGGATCACAGCCAATCTCGCCTTTCTTGCGGATATCACTAATCATTTAAATTACTCTCTACAAGGCAAAGATAAATTAATTATTCATATGTTTGATCAAATTAGATCTTTTAAAATGAAACTTAATTTATGAATCAATCAATTTCAATCTCGAAAGTTGTTGCATTTTTCAAATTTATTATCTGTTGCCATGCACATTCAAGATAAGCAATATGAAGAATATATAAATTCACTTCAATTATTACATAATGAATTCGATTGTCGGTTTAGGGAAATGCATGTTTTAGAAGAAGACTTACTTATTTTTATGACATCTTTTACTATTGATATTAATATTGTTCCTGCAGGTATACAATTAGAATTAATAGATTTAAAATGTGACACTGCTCTTAAAAATCGTTTTGGTACAATTACTGACATCGTACAATTTTATTCATATATATCTCAAGAACGTTTTCCTCGACTACATGCTCATGCTGCAAAAATAATGAGTATGTTCGGTTCTATATATTCATGTGAACAATTATTTTCTATTATGAAATTAAATAAATCGCGATTAAATGAACAGATTCACATTTAAATGCAATAATTCGTTTAAGTTGTGCGATAACACCTGATATATCGTATATAATATCGGAAAACTGAATATGAATCAAATATTAATTAAATGTTATAAGAGTTGCTTATTTAATATTATTGTAAGAATGGCTTATTTAAAATATAAATAGTTACTAATTTGCTAATTCTGGGTCTGAATTTGTGCAACACAATATTTTTTTACTCCTTGAATAGCACGTTCAACGAACAGACGTTCCTGTTATCCCCTCTCTTCACTTTATTGCGTCTAGCCGCCTAACGCTAGCCCCAGCGCGCTCGACTATTGCCCGCGGGCATTGAGCATCCGCGAGCAGTGCTCACTTGCCGATCCCTGGGCTACACTTTCATCAACACATGTTACGTGCGTCTAGCGTGCTCCACGCATTCTTAGCAACAGCGAATCTCAATGAGCAGTTTTATCTCATCATCGCGCTTGCAATTTGATTA